ACAGACATTGATCAGTTTAGTTTCTGACATTAATTAAACATCAGATTACAAGCTTTAAAGAAGCTCAAAACACAGACATTGATCAGTTTAGTTTCTGACATTAATTAACACATCAAATTACAAGCTTTAAAGAAGCCCAAAACACAGACATTGATCAGTTTAGTTTCTGACATTAATTAACACATCAAATTACAAGCTTTAAAGAAGCTCAAAACACAGACATTGATCAGTTTAGTTTCTGACATTAATTAAAACATCAGATTACAAGCTTTAAAGAAGCTCAAAACACAGACATTGATCAGTTTAGTTTCTGACATTAATTAACACATCAAATTACAAGCTTTAAAGAAGCTCAAAACACAGACATTGATCAGTTTAGTTTCTGACATTAATTAATACATCAAATTACAAGCTTTAAAGAAGCCCAAAACACAGACATTGATCAATTTAGTTTGTGACATTAATTAACACATCAAACTACAAGTTTTAAAGAAGCCCAAAACACAGACATTGATCAGTTTAGTTTCTGACATTAATTAACACATCAAATTACAAGCTTTAAAGAAGCTCAAAACACAGACATTGATCAGTTTAGTTTCTGACATTAATTAACACATCAAATTACAAGTTTTAAAGAAGTTCAAAACACAGACATTGATCAGTTTAGTTTCTGACATTAATTAACACATCAAATTACAAATTTTAAAGAAGCTCAAAACACAGACATTGATCAGTTTAGTTTCAAACATTAATTAATACATCAAATTACAAGCTTTAAAGAAGCCCAAAACACAGACATTGATCAGTTTAGTTTCTGACATTAGCAGTAGTTGTTTTTATATGCACAAATAAACACTAAAAATGTTTCTTTTTTCTCCATTTGTGAACTGGACTACTCTCAGACAAACAACAACCTGCCTCAAGTAGCAGCAGCAGTGAGTCTCTCAATTCTCGACCAGGAACTACATCCAACCAGTCTTCTCAGTCAAGTAAGGTTGCCCCACCCCATGGTGTGAGTGAAGGGGGCAAGCTACCTGGTGTGTGTGGGTCAGGGAATAGGGCAGGAATGGAGAGCACGATTTACCACAGGGCTGGGGGTAATGCAGGAATGATGCAAAGACGGGTCATTATGGGTAACTTAAATAGTTGTTACAGTATGCTTCTACTATCGGGGGGGTTAAAATCCTGTACCATAACAGGATTGTTTATTTCGTTTTTACTTTTGCATGTAAACTAACTAAACAAAAGGCATGCTTTAGATAAATCCCAATCTTAATCACCTTCTTTGTAAATTACCTTTTCTCTGTTGTTTACATTTTATTTTTAGCTCTGTATTTAAACATATGTCAAAATATTCCTAACTGCTCATTATATCATAAATATTAGGCAGTATTTTAGTCCTAACTGATCATTATTTCATAAGTATTAGGCAGTATTTTAGTCCTAACTGATCATTATTTCATAAGTATTGGGCAGTATTTTAGTCCAACTGATCATTATTTCATAATAGTTGGGCAGTATTTTAGTCCTAACTGATCATTATTTCATAACAATTGGGCAGTATTTTAGTCCTAACTGATCATTATTTCATAACAATTGGGCAGTATTTTAGTCCTAACTGATCATTATTTCATAAGTATTAGGCAGCATTTAGTCCTAACTAATCATTATTATATAAGTATTGGGCAGTATTTTAGTCCTAACTGATCATTATTTCATAAGTATTAGGCAGTATTTTAGTCCAAACTGATCATTATTTTATAAGTATTGGGCAGTATGTTAGTCCTAACTGATCATTATTTCATAAGTATTGGGCAGTCTTTTAGTCCTAACTGATCATTATTTTATAAGTATTAGACAGTTTTTTTTACTACTAGCGGATGTACCAATGTGATGCACGTTAAGAGGTTTATGAAAGTTGTTTTTTTCCAAAATATGCCAGTGGCAATACAGAGATTGAAAATACATAAAAATCAAATTATTCATGTTCATTTGGCTTGATTATTTAAATAATATTTTATTTTCTAAATTTGCCTTTTCTTTTTTTAACAAAAAGCGATAAGGAACGAGTGACTTAAAAACATCTTAGTTAACATAAGTGGGCCTGTTTTGGAAGTATGTATAAACAGTTTGTGAAAAAGAAATTCCTCAAATGAATGATGGGATATGAACATGAAATGCAATTGTGGATTAAATGTTTTACCAGTTATGGATATATATTTGTTTCTGTTTTTGTCCTAAATATGTCAGTAATGATTGAAAGAACATAGTCTGTATGTATACCCCATGTAATGAAAGAGGAAACAGGAAAAATTCGATCAGTACCCCTAGTGGCCACCCACAATGATGGAGCACTGGAGCTAGGACATATCCCAAATTATTCCTAGTTAACTAAACCATATTTCACACATCAAAAATGCAAAAGTCTATGAGGATTTAGAAGGCAAACAAATTAACAAACTTCTCTCAAGTGATAATGGGATCTTTTTGGATACAAAGTGTCTTCTATAAAAACTTACTGTGTTTGTCAGTTTTGAAATGAGTAAATGATGATGTATTACTATACAAACAAGGGGGAGGGGGTTAGCTCCTATTTTAGAAACATATTTTTTCTCAACTTTCTCTGGCAGGAAAAACCATTATGTCACAACTCCTTTCACAGAACATGATAAACTCAGTGAAGATAAGGCTTCTGGATATTTTCTCCAGTATCCAGGAGACCTACCTTCTCTGAGTACATCACATCCTGGATATTTTCTCCAGTATCCAGGAGATTGGTATTCACTAATTACATCACAACATGGATATCCAGAAGACTTCTCTTTACTGAGTACATCACATCCTGGATGTTTTCTACAATTTACAGAAGACTTCTCTTTACTGAGTACATCAGATCCTGGACGTTTTCTACAATGTACAGAAGACTTCTCTTTACTGAGTACATCAGATCCTGGATGTTTTCTACAATTTACAGAAGACTTCTCTTTACTGAATACATCACATCCTGGATGTTTTCTACAATTTACAGAAGACTTCTCTTTACTGAGTACATCACATCCTGGATGTTTTCTACAGTTTACAGAAGACTTCTCTTTACTGAGTACATCACATCCTGGATGTTTTCTACAATATCCAGAAGACTTCTTTTTACTGAGTACATCACATCCTGGACGTTTTCTACAGTTTACAGAAGACTTCTCTTTACTGAGTACATCACATCCTGGATGTTTTCTACAATATCCAGAAGACTTCTTTTTACTGAGTACATCACATCCTGGATATTTTCTCCAATATCCAGAAGACTTCTCTTTACTGAGTACATCACATCCTGGATGTTTTCTACAGTTTACAGAAGACTTCTCTTTACTGAGTACATCACATCCTGGATGTTTTCTACAATATCCAGAAGTCTTGTCTTCACGGACAGCATCACATTACAACCAAGTAACAAGAGTTGGTAATGTGATTGGGGTTTAATAATCTTTTCACTTGTAATTATTTACATGAAAATTCCCTAGGTGATACATATATTGTGAAATGTTTCAATGATATGTATGTAGAAGCAGAATAAACATTGTTTTAACTTGGCATCATCGGGTGGATTTGGAGTAAATTTATGTAGAATACAAAATACACTCAGTTATGAAGAACTGCAATACTTTCAGATCTGATTCGGCACAAACAAACGTATTCTGAACATCTACGTATTAGTTTAGAATCATAGGACATCTAACATGGAAAGGATTTTGATATTTTAATATAACTTTCTTCTCTGTGTGCTTAACAGTTGTATATGTTCTTAAAAGACGTATGAATAATTTTAACATTTTGTTTTTTCTCAAACAGATGCTACAGAAAGCTTCCCATCAGTAGCTCCAGCAGATCAGATGTGAGTTCTGTTCTTCAATTACTGAATAATTCCATTATTACCTTAAACTATACACCTGGTAAAAAGTTAAGCACCCCCGT